ATGGGGATTCCAGAGCAGGAGACACAGGATGAGCCAGTATCGTTGGCCGTGATAAAATATGTTTTTGGACTTTGTTTAATTTCTATGTCCCTTGCTTGTTTGGTGGCTTTTGGGGAACGCATTTGTTTTAGAAAAACTTATCAAACTTGTTTTGATACTCAAAAAAATTTTCTAAATGACATGAGAAAGAAAGTAAAATACAATTCCATCTGGTGGAAAAAGAGATATCGAGCAAGAGTTAAGAGAAGTTAAGCTGAAAGATATCCATGTCAATGTGTCAATATAAATATGCGATACACAAAATATACATATATGTAAAATGTATTCATAAATTTCAATGTAGCAAAAAATTATGAATGTGTACACTCTCAATAATTTTTTGACGATATTGTTATCGGCGGAGGTACTATGCAATTCTACCGCTCTGGTAATAATTTATCACCGAAGGGTAGCATATATGTAGAGGCTAAATCTTGCGCTGCCCCCAATATCAACGCTCAGGTAATAAAAATATTACCGATTCAAGAGGCAATTTCTTGCCCTCAGAAGACAATTTGTTAGTATAGTGTTACCACGCGGTAGAGTTGCATAGTATCTCCGCCGGTAACAATTTTGTCAAAAAATTATTGAAAGTGTATCTTTAATGTATATGTAGTATGCATAAAAGGAATTAAAAATATTTCTAGTGGGCAAAATTATTGAGTTGTTCTTATTGAGCAAAATTTGTTTGTCTGAAATTTATTCTTTAATCAACTCTTCGTTGATAAATAGTTGCATTTGCAATCGTTCATACTAATCAAATTTGTGATTGATTGACACTAGTTTGATACAAATCCGTGAGCATACGTTGGGAGACCTCCATTGTAGTGAATACATGAGGAGATTTTTTCCTCGCCTATCTTTGTAAATGTTGTACGGCTTGTCAGTGCGCATGTGTTTTAACTTTCACCGAACTAATAAATATGCACTGGACTCGATTATGTAAAGTACCCAGTCCGGAGTATAGTATGTAGCTATATTTACTTATCTTACATTGTTATTTTGCATCTTGTTATTTTGCATTCCTGGTTATCAACGTAATTTGTAGAATGTGATATTGCTCGTTTTCTTGCACTTGTTCTGAATTAATATAAAGTATTTCTTTCCCAAGCATTCTTGCTTAAATGAATTTGTACCATTATCTCAAAATCTGAAATATTTACATATTTATGGCCGATAGGAGATACACAAATGCATATTTTTTGCTAACTCCTTAATGACTTTGCATGAGGCAAAACAATTGTGATCATGGGTCAGTAAGAACATTCGTCGTTAGCCAAGGTATCGGACATATGTACATAAATACATATGAACCTGTCATAATTTTATTCCTGCTCGTGTTTCTAATAAATACAACCAACAATAAATTATCAGCCTCTTCAATATAAACTCACTAGCGTATAAGCCCGTCTCCCGCCGGGCGAGAGTGAATTTTGATTTGAATTTTGATGATAAAAATTCCACCAATTAATATTATTGCTTTCTCAACTCTCCCTTCCGTCACGGAAGATTATTTTTCTTCCGTTGCAGACAAACATTTCCAGCTTATAAACACATTGGCTGATGATTGTCGTGCAATTACGTCCCGTAAAATAGAACTGTTTATGTTTGCAGTCAAACCAATCGAAATCTCGTGTCATTCAACTTCAACCTATGTGCGTGTTCTTAAGTTCACTGCACATTATCTTATCTTTTGTATCTCTTGTCAGACTCGCTGCATTCGGAATTTCATAAAACGTGGAAATATTATTCCTTCGCCTTTTTCAAATCTTATAAATTGTCCCAGGTTCATTAGAAAGTTTTATAAATAACAAAAATACATTTGTCTTTGAATTTTAAATAAAATTAATTTTTGAATTATTTTTGAATTTTTGAAAAATTTTTGAATTTGAGACTTAACTTTCTTAAACTTTATTTCCGAACAATATTTCCAACTTTTAATATAGATGTGACAATGTGAATGGCCAAAGAATCCAAGCACAGTCTGGCAACCGCGGAAGGGCCTGCTGCTCCATACCTTTGGGTGTATAAGGAGAGGACCTTTCCATTTATAGATTGGCACAAAGGGATTTGTCTTTTACTATAGTGTGGGTACTACAATGTACAGATTTATGGTAAGTGTCTACCTACGCACACACAGGATTAGTTTTTAAACTGTATACATATAGCCGAATATGTACCAATACATATATGTACATACATACAAATATGTATGTACCTACATAAATATGGGTACATGCAAATCAGAACCAAGAATTGTGCAGTGGTGTGTGTTACCAGTTGAACTTGGCGCTTGGTTACACACGTGTCTCACATTGTCCAAGCTAATGTCACCTAGCGGCAGGTGGGGCACTATGTTACATTTTTCGTTTCTAGAGGGCGTTTTTCGCTAAAGTGTCAAAACGTTGACGAACACGAGAACAACGAAACACACCCTTTAGATCTGCCGAGACTTGATCAAATGAACGGGCACACCCCCTAAACTTGACATTTGACCTGTGACCTGGGCACACCCACCAGACTTGACGTTTGACCTGTGACCTTGGCACACCCACTAGATTTGACATTTGACCTGTGACCTTGGCACACCCACTAGATTTGACATTGGACCTGTGACCTTGGCACACCCACTAGATTTGACATTTGACCTGTGACCTTGGCACACACCCCTGGACTTGACATTTGACCTGCGACCTGCGTACAACCCATAAAGTTGACACTTTACAGAGTTGACACTTGACCTGTGGCTGTGGCTTGGGCACACCCATCATACTTGACCTGGGACCTCGGCACACCCGCTACACTTGACCTGTGACCTGGGCACACCTACTACACTTGACCTGTGACCTCGGCACACCCGCTACACTTGACCTGTGACCTGGGAACACCAACTAGATTTGACATTTCACCTGTGACCTTGGCACACCCACTAGATTTGACATTTGACCTGTGACCTGGGCACATCCACTATACTTGACCTGTGACCTCGGCACATCCACTATACTTGACCTGTGACCTCTGTGCCCCACGGTAAAGTTGACACTTGACCTGTGCCTTACTAATTTTAATTACCTACCAGCGCCACCTATCGGATGTTGGCTGTTTTTCAGCGCTAGAGGGCGGGCTTTTGGTTTAAGTGCCTAAACGTACTTAAAACGTTAGAACAATGCCACACTTCAGAGTTGTGACCTAACGTTTTTCGAGGTCACCCCCTTTAGAGTCGTGACCTAACATTTTTCGTGGACACCCCCTTTAGAATCGCAACTGAACGTTTTTCATGGTCACCCCCTTTAGAGTTGTGACCTAACGTTTTTCGTGGTCACCCCTTTTAGAGTCGTGACCTAACGTTTTTCGTGGTCACCCCCTTTAGAGTCGTGACCTAACGTTTTTCGAAGTCATCCCCCTTTAGAGTCGTGACTGAACGTTTTTCGTGGCCACCCCCTTTAGAGTCGTGACCTAATGTTTTTCGTGGTCAACCCATAGAGTCGTGACCGGACGTTTTTCGTGGTTACCCCCTTTAGAGTCGTAACTAAACGAATTTCGTGGTCACACCGATAGAGTCGTGACTTAACGTTTTTCGTGGCCACCCCCTTTAGAGTCGTGACTGAACGTTTTTCGTGGCCACCCCCTTTAGAGTCGTGAAGAACGTTTTTCGTGGCCACCCCCTTTAGAGTCGTGACTGAACGTTTTTCGTGGCCACCCCCATTTAGAGTCGTGACTGAACGTTTTTCGTGGGCACCCCCTTTAGAGTCGTGACTGAACGATTTTCGTGGGCACCCCCTTTAGAGTCGTGACTAAACGTTTTTCGTGGTAACACTCAATTACAGTCGTGACAACGTTTTTCGTGGACACACCCAATTAGAGTCGTGACAACGTTTTTCGTGGTCACGCCCATAGGGTCGTGAGTGAACGTTTTTCGTAATAAAATAATAAAATCGTTTTGCTTAGAGCCCGCACTGCGGGCTTAAGAGACTAGTACACACATAAACGACTTACTTACTCACCCTCACATGTTGCATTTTCCTATGCCACGAACATCATGAATCTGTATAGCATCTGGTGTAATATAGATTCACGACGAACATATATAAATGTCGTAAATACTGCTCACTTTATACCAGAACAAGTCATGCATAGCACATGTTCCATAAGAAAACTCCGGCTTTAATCTGGATTTAAAGTCTTAAACAACGTTTCATTTATTTCATACGATATACATAAATCCGATTCGTTTATATAATTTTCTGAATATTCTCTGCCGTGAAATTAAGTCGAAATTGAATTTCTAAGATCTTATTAAAATATGTGGAAAACTGTGTTAATTTGTATTTTTTTCTTCTTCCTTCACATACAATTCTGTGCTTCTGACACCAAATCTAAAACAAGTGAAATGATGAAAAAGAATTTAAAATTTGTGCGAGGAACTTTACACAATTTGGATAATCCCGAAGAATTTGTTTCTCAAGTTAAGACCATCTTTGAAAATGCCGGCCATTTAGAGGAAACTTTTCAAATCCTTGACGCCAGTGATTTCCCACATAAACCAGATTGGAATCGTGTCGAGGAGCTGGACCGTTCTAACTCTGTCATGCTCAGTGAAAATAATATTCCTGAGAAATCCAAGTATATAGAAATGATGCTGAAAAAATTAAAAATTTCTACATTCCATGAGCTTGATGATATTTTCTTGATGAGTGAGTCTCTCCAATATATTATTGACTATTACAAGAAGGCTGAGAAAGTGGCGGAAATGGTGAGACATCGATTATTACAATATACCTAATTATTATTGCAAATACTAAATTATTTTAATTTTAAATTAGAGTTCAACTTTTGCCAAAGCGGTGGACTTGGCTCAAGATACAGTTATTATTTTACTACATATGAAGATAGAAATTGTGACAATTACTACAAAACTTTGTCACGATATTGAGATAAACTATAATAGGACAATATCCGGGGAAATCCATTTGCAACAATGTCTCCGAGTACTAATAGAACTTGACGCAAGTGCAGAAAGAGAGAGGATGGTACAACTTGTACAAGAAGATATTGAGCTTTACGTAAGTGGATAATTTTCTAATTAGTTACAATTTTTTTCACATACTGAACAATTTTATCAACAAATACATATTTATAACGTGGTGAATTTTCTTGCAAAATAATTTGGGTTGCAATTAAATCGTATTATCTCAAGTTTTTAAATTTAAGTTTTTTTTCGGGTGGGGGGACCACTATTGAACTACTGTATATATACAGGGTGGTTAAAATGTCAAGCTACAATGGAAAATTTTTCGATGGGAAAAATCCATAAATTGCCATTAGTTACCGAAATTTTGTCCTAAAAAAATGCAACATTTTAAGAATTTTGTCATCAGTTTTGAATAATTCATAAAAATCTCAATCCCAAATCTTGTAACTAATGGAGATTTAGGGACTTTTCCCATTGAAAAATTTTCCATTGTTGCATGACAACCACCCTGTACATAGGTATTTATAATTATAACATTTTAATTATTCAGAAGTACGCAACCTACTCACCCCCATTGACTGATAAATGTTAAAAAATCTGATCTAATACTTTTCCTTGTGAATCACCCTAATTTTGTGGAAATAACGCACCACGTTAGGCTTGGAAGATGCAAAAACGTATCAAATTTTGAAATAAATTGATACCCATTACATTCTTGATTTCATCCAAACCTTTCTCACATCGTTGGTAAGAAATTATTCTATTTATTTATGCTCAGGACAAGTCAAAACTGGAAATCCAAACCATTGAAAAGTTATGGATCGAGGCGACCAAAGAATTGAACACCCTTCTCGAAATGAATGAATATTGGGGACGGCATGTCATGCATTTCAAGATAAAGCATGGACTTCTTGCGCTCAAACCTGTTTCGGTAGATGTCCCAATGGATTTGAGTATTTTAGAAGAACTGGCCAAATTGTTCGAGAAGGTCGAAGGGTTGAGAAATCTTGTCCTCGTAAGTATTTATTCTCCCACGTAATTGCATGCAAAAAGTATGTAAAGATTCTTCTTTATGGTTAGTTTTTGTTAAATATTAAATCTTCCAGTTGGAGAAGAGTGAATCGAAAAAGGCAGAATTGGAGAGCCAACTTTCTCAGGGGGAACAATTCTTGAAAAATTATCTCACCCAGAGCACAACATCCGATCAAATTCGTAACATTGTCGCATTTACGAATGAATTTATATCCATGGCAACCAAAAGTTTGGACATTTCCTATGTAAATGTAAGCTTACTTAGATCAAATTTAATGAGATAATTTATAAGCATTAATTTCAATTGTTTGCTTAATTACTATTTTGAAATACTTTTCATACATTTCAGCGAGAAGGTGGAATGATGGATAATATGAAAAAATACCGACAACTGTCAGATCAACAGAAAAAGTTGGGAAGCAAGTTTGCAGATCTTTTAGCGCAAAATGAGAAAATACCTGAACTTATTTACGACCAGCGAGTGCACGATGAGACTAAAAGGATTGAGTTGTAGGTTATCATCAGCGGGGTACAATTACATATGTAAAAGTTTGTTCAGAATTGAAGGCTTTACTATGTAATTCAAGTTCAGCCTTCTCCAGTGGCGGCGGAAGCAGGGGGACAGGGGGACATTGTCCCCCTAGAAATTCGCCAAAATCGTATCTTGCCCATGTTAAGAAGCCTCTCCTTCTCCTATCCCATAATGTTAATGTCCCGACATGTCCCCCCAACTTCCTCCGCCACTGGCCTTGTCACGCAGGCTACGCAACAGGCATTTCTGTTTTAAACAGAATAATGAGATATCCGACTGCAAATACATAAATATGTATGTAAAAATGTCTTTCTTATGCAGTATTTTAATAAAATTGGAAATGGTAGTGATATCAGTTATTAATTAATATTAATATCTAACCTACCAATGTTATCGTTAGTGTAGTATCGCGGTCGCTCGGAATATGTATGTATCTACACATACTTTATTGTTTGTATTTGAATATAAACCACATATTTTTGTACACTTGGAGGGAGTTCAAAAATTGACTCGCGATTAGCATGGCCACCCCGAAATATTTAGCCGTCAATTTGTCGGACTTGAGACATCTCTAACGCAAGGATATATGTAAATCCCTAAATTCTACAGAATCCCATCTTATCCATGTTTCTTGTAATACAGGGTGTTAATAAAGTCCGATCCCATTTTTCCTGTAAAAAAGTGAAGGCTAGTATAAAAAAAAACTACCCGTGATACTTACAAAAAATGTTCGACATATTTACCTTAGTATTTGGTCTTGTTACCATTTACTTTAACCATGCCCTCAACTCTTTGTTTAAGGCTCTGTGCTAATTTTTCCAATGTGCCTCTGGAAATCGAATTCCATACATCTTGAACTGTTTTTTACTAGCTCTTCCCTCGTTCGGGGTTGTGGCTCTTTGTATACATTTTCCTTAAGTATGGACCACTGGTTCTTCAGGGGATTCAAATCTGGGCCGTTAGCGGCCCACACCCCCTTGCTCCAGACCGTTGAAACTTGCGTCTTGATGAGACTCAAACTCGCTTTTGCTGTATGGGCTATAGCACCATCCTGCATGAAAACTATTTTTCTTTCATTCGGAAATATTTCCTTGTTCCCCATGCTATCGAAATAGATAGGTAATATTTTTTCCATATAATGCTTTGCATTGACTGATTGGCCTTTTGGTATGATATGTAGAGGGGTCACGCAACGTGCACAAAATCCACCCGCTACCATAACTTTAAGCCCGAATTTTGGGATCGCTCTTGATGGTACATCCGATTTGTTTTCTGTCCTGTAACGAACATTTTGTTGGTTCAATTTTGGATATAGTTCAATAATAGATTCGTCAGTCCAAAGGATGTGACTGCGCAATTCTTCACCAAGTCTTTTTTCACTCAAATGGGCACTTTTCTGAAGGAGTTCTTCAAATTTCAGACGGTCATCGATATATTTTTGTGACATGAGAGGTTTTTTGGTTAGTTTGTAAGCTGTGTGACCCCACTTCGTAGTTTTCACAAATTTTTGCACGGTCACACAGTTAATTTGCTTCTTCTTCTCTTTATAGCGTTTTGAGTCATTTAACTCCCTTGCTCAATTACGTAATGAACTACCGGTTTTCTTGCAAAGTCTGTTTTTAATCATTCTTTTTGTGGTAGGTGACACCTTTCTTGGTCGCCCTGGTCGCTTTTTGTCGTGGACAAAATTTTTATTCTTCCATTTCCAAACAGTTCTGCGGCTGCAGCCCAATTTTTGCACAATTTCTGTAGGTTTAAGCCCCTGCTGATGCAATGTTTGTATCTCAACTCTAAGATGCTCATGACTTACACGTTTAGTTGTTCCTCCCATGGTAAAAATTTGAAATAAATAACTTCACTGGTTCAAAAGTTCCAGCTGAATTTGTAACAACCACGCTCCAAAAAATGCATGGGATCGGACTTTATTAACACCCTTTAGTTAAAATGATGATCTAAACTAGGGTTTTCAGTAATTTCTTTCGTACTTAGGAGGGGAGGTTGTGTACTATCAACTCCCAGATCTTGATGCTCTTTGGATATGTTGTAGCTCCCATGAATGTACAAGAACCCTGAAGTGGTTTGGTGCTATGGCCACATTTGCGCCCGCCACACCCACTCAAAGGTGCCCAAAAATCGCTTTCACTCCAGCTTTCACCCATTCAAAACCACGCCAAAAATCCAATTTTACTCGGATTTTGAAATTTCTTTCACCATTGTACTCCCAGATAGTTGCTTCCTTATTTTCAACATCAAACTCAACTTTTTTGATGATTATTGCGTAGGCATAATTTGGTCTGTTGATTACTACAAAATGCTCATTCATAATTTTAAATTTTAAAACTACTACAAATTAAAGAAGTTGAAATTAAAGAAGTTGAGTTTTATGTTGGAAATAAGAAAGCAACTATCTGGGAGTACAATGGTGAAAGAAATTTCAAAATCCGAGCAAAATTGGATTTTTGGCGTGGATTTGATGAGTGAAAGCTGGAGTGAAAGCGATTTTTTGGGCACCTTTGAGTGGGTGTGGCGGGCGCAAATGTGGCCATGGCACCAAACCACTTCAGGGTTCTTGTACATTCATGGGAGCTACAACATATCCAAAGGGCATCGAGATCCGGGAGTTGATAGTGCACAACCTCCCCTCCTTATAGCGACCATAAATCAGATTTAACAATAAAGAGTTTTTATAGATATATATTTCTCTGGAGCTGGTTACACACTTGATTTGAAACCAGTGTCGTGAACGGAATTTGCTAATTTTATTAATTACCATAAAAATAATTTAAGATAAAACCCTACTTTTCATGCTGCTTCCTTAACATGAAACACATATACATATCTTGACCACAAAATGCCGTATTACTAGTTTAAACAGATAACATACCAATTTTCCCTAAAATCTTCTCTCTCTTATTTCATCGCCCTAGTGAGCTGAGTAAGGTTGGAGGGATACATAATTTTCACCCCTTTAGCCCACGTTTTCAGAAAAATGATGATGTTGACTCCCTGAATTTGCCTGTACTACCCGCCCTCAAATAATTATCGAGTTCCTTGTCATCGCCAAGAAGACTGGCGGGGTATACGCCTCCTTCATCTTCCACCCCAACCGGTCGTGCCACGAGGAGGAGGACTTCAGTGCTATTCGCCGTTTCCTCCTTACACGCTCCCAATACTAGATTCTTCCCCATTGTACAATCAAATCCCACATCGTGCCTCAATTTAACCAAGTTAACGCCGTTTACACGAATAATGCAGTCACCAAGTTGCAACCGGCCATCCCTGTTGGCCACGCTATCCGGCAAAATTGGGGACACGAGCAAACCCACCCGATAATCGGAGTAAGTCGCGACAATTCCGTATTTATCTGCAACTTAGGGTTTTACAAGTTCTATAATTTGAACTATCGCGTTTTCCGTGTCGAACTGAAACAGGTTTTCTTCATATTTCAATGGGGACAAAAAATATGTTTGCACTGTAAAGAAAAATGGACAAAATTTGCTCAAGGTTGAGCAAAAACAAAAGGGGGTGATACAACAATTGAGTAAAATTTGATCAGCGTGGAGTAAAAAGTATTAATAGACATTGTACAAATCGGCAAGTTTTACCCAATTGTTGTGTAATCTCTTTCTTTTTATTCTATCTTGGGAAAATTTTATCGATTTTTCTTTAGAATGTCGCAATTTAACAGAATGAATTTCGCAAAACTATTAAATATATGTAAAATGTACCCGAGGAAGTTTTACAGGTAGTGGCGTCTTAGTAGATACCAGGCAGTCTTCTATCTTTGAAATTGTGCTATCTTCCGTCAAATTTCGTTTCCACAGGAAACGAAATAAAGCCAGACCGAATCCTTGCAAGATGCAAAATGTGAAAATTACCCGGCTCGACATGACCCCTGAAAAGAATGTATTTTATCAAGATTAGAACCAACTATTTAAATGGGATATTTTGATTAGTGATTTATTGAGAAGACCATAAAATTTGTGTGGCTTCCGTAACTCTTAAAGACTCAATAAATAAATGTCAGCACTTTCTTTACCCCAATCTCGGCAGTAAATAGAATTTACGTAGAGTATGTAATATCTGTACAACGAGAGGCTCATTAGGAACATAGCAGCGAACGGAGAATGAGCCTGAAAACTTAGCACGAGTTATATAAACAAGTGCTAACGAAATGTGTTAATGTAACACATACATATGTATTTCGTTAGCACTGTTAATGATACCAGCCGATATGGTTCCTAATGTTTCAATGCAAAGAAAGAAACTGCCAGCGATATGCGATGACATTACACTAATGTTTTATAAATTTAACCACTTTGCTTACTTAATTTTTATCGGCGCAGGAGTAAAAAGTGGGAAGGAGTTGTACTATAGAAAGTGCTAGTAACTGTTAGAAAGCGACAAAGCTAAAGTAATATTCTTTGATTCATCTATACTTGCAAACATATTTGCAGTACATAATTTTTATTTTTTGTATCATGTATTAATTGCAATTGATTTTGAGTTATTAAATAGATATTTATTTTGAGTTGAAATTTCTCTCCCATTCCTCTAACGTTTTACTGAATTGGTCAATACCGCTGAAAACATTACGGGCACAATAACAACGGTGAGCTGACCGCCGATGGGTAGCAAAATTTGGGTCATGTATTTCTGACAAGTCAAAATAGAGTGACAATAATGAAAACCGGAATCACTTCACACCGTTAAAATTTTGATTTCGATAAAATTCTTAGCGTTGGTATGGCTGATTTTTATGAGTCCAACGGTCCAAGTCCGGTGTTTCTACTCCACCCCCTCGCCAAGTGGGAGGAGCTCAAATTTGGAAAAACTGAGATTTTCTGCGATTTTTAGCCTAAAGGCGGGCCAATATTTTTGAAAACGGTTTTCACCAAAAGTTTCCTAATTTTTATCTCTACAACCCTTTTCGAGCGTTTTTTGAAATTCTCAAAACGGACGTCTCGATATTGGAGTAAAATTAGGGAAAGGTCAAGTCTCACATAACCCCATAATTGGGGTCATATGAGACACCATTGGAAAGCTCTCAGCGCGAGGGTTAAGAATATATATACTTTGTCAGGTGTATGACCAATCACTGTTGTTCTAGAGACAAAAGTATTCTGAGCTTGTCCCTATTCCATTGCCATGTTAGCTCCCAATCTTCCGCTGTGTTAAATTTTGGAACATTTCAGATTCTCGTTCTCATGCACATATCAGACCTGTTGGACCCCGAACCATGACATTTCGTCATTTTATGATGTTTAGCATAAATTAGGATGGTTTCTGAACAAATTCGCGTCGTTTAAAAAAAGTCGAAAATCCTGAGAAAAAACTTGAACCTGGAAAATCCAAAACCCTGACGTCCGTTTTGAGAATTTCAAAAAACGCTCGAAAAAGGTTGTAGATATAAAAATTAGGAAACTTTTGGTGAAAACTATTTTCAAAAATATTGACCCGCCTTTAAGCTAAAAATCGCAGACTAGAGCGATGTTTCCAACTTTGAGCTCCTCCCACTCCGCGAGGGGGTGGAGCAGAAACACGGGACTTGGATCGCTGAACTCGTAAAAATCAGCTCTACAAACGCTGAGAATCTTATCCAAATCAAAATTGTAAGGGTGTGAAGTGATTCCGGTTTTCATTATTGTCACTCAATAATAACTGCA